TATTGTCTTTTTTATTTGTTGCAGTTCATGTTTATTCAACTATTCTAAGTATTAAAAAAAAGGCTTACTAGGATTAGACTGTTTTGGCATAAAATTTTAATGATTTCTGTAGCCATTATCACACTCTTAACCTCAAATAGCTGAGAATTTAGCCACAGGCAACACACGTTCCACAAGTGAAGACCAGCCAAAACACAAATGGATTAAAGCTCAAAGGCAATGGCAAGTTTGTGAAAACATATACTGCAACAGTTATTCTTACTGCAGAAGGTTTACAGATCCTTATTGGTCAGCAAAGTGAGTTATTTTATGATATGTTCATTTTTTAGAGATCTAAAGTGATATTTAGCACACACTGTGATGAAGTGACAGAAGTAGATCAAAACTGAACACCACCCCTCTTTATAATGAGAAGACCTATTTTTTAGTGTAAACTTATCCTGTAGTCAAGTTCATGTTCCCATCCCTGAAGGCCAAAAGGCTGAAATCAGTCTTTCCCACAGTCCATCACTGTAATATCAGCACTAAAAGCAACAAAGGAGTTCTGACAAAGCATTATTACCATTCAGGAGTTCAGTCTATTCTCTGTACTGCAAACAGCTTTGAACACTATTGACATACAGTATCTATGAACACAAATCCTACACCAAAACTTTTTTAACATTTACATTTTTTATTAATTACACTAGACTTTGATCTAATGAGGAATTATAATGTAATAACATAATTTATTACACGTGCATTATCAACAGGAATATATTGCACAGCTGGCCTATCACGATGCAGCTTGCTTCATGCAGCAGAAGGGTGCACAGGTACTTACTGGCATCATGTTGGAAGCTGTGGCAGGTCAGAACCAGGGGAGCATCAGTGGAGGATGTCGGTGCGCCTCCACTCCTCTGGGACACCGCTTTACTCAACCAAACCTCTTCTGTGGTCTCCTTAAAGTGACAACCAACAGGGCCTCACTCTCTCTGAAAAGCAGACAGGGGTCATGTGTTACTCAGAATACACATACAACTACTGCTTCATACTAAGAGATTATTCTGAATTTGTCTAAGGATAATTAAAATCTCATCCAGGCGTGGCTCTGCGTTGCTCCTGCTACAACTGGGCCAATGGCGAGTGAGCCAGTGTAGCTCTTACCGCACCGCCACAGCGACTCATTACAAATGTGCAATGCACGTCTTTATGTCATTATCAGTAGATACTATGTTATTATACTCACCAGTGTCAGGGGCGAAGCATTGTCCTCGGCTGTATATGAGCTGCTGTTGAAGGCACACAGGGTTATCCGAGCAGCTGTCCACTGCAGCTAACGCTGTTTCTGCTGTTAGCTGTGCTAGCTGCTTTGCGAAGTGGCTAATGGACGGTATGCAAGGCGATCACTTCGCTCTCGTTGGCCCTTTAACTTGCAGTGGTTGCTCATCGGTCCTATTTCGATGTTTTAATTTCCAGTTAACCTGTCCCATGCAAACATCGCCACAAAAATGTAATTCCTTTCTATTTATTTAATGAAATCCCCATGGTTAGCAGCGTAGCAAAGCGAGTTGACGAAAATAAAATAGCTGGATTCCAGTTGTTGACTGTAAAAGGGGCGGGGCTTCAGCACGTCAACGTAAAGTGTCAAGAACCAAGCGTCATTATCCAGGTCAGTCTGGACCATAAACTGTATATATAAACTGGAGACATTAAACACGTAAATAGTCTAAAAACTATCGTATGGATGAACAATGAGACATTTCTATTCCCTTCATAAAGTTTATTTAATATGCTTATTTACTCATTTAATCACATTAGATCAATGATACGTACAGTCAACCAGACCTAAATCTACATAATAGATACATTTGAACAAATGGCCAGATTTGTCCAATTTCAAATTGTGTGTGTTTTATGAATATAAATACCAAAGGATCAGTTTACCATGCAACATACACTTAACTTAGCTCTAGGGTGACACCAAGTGGTGCAAATGTTCTGGAAATGTGTTATGTTCTCTGCACGTTTTAAAACATATCCCGGTAGTTAACAGCTGAGAAATTATACAATAATTATAACACAATGATTTCAAATAAATGTATCAACCTAAAACAGACACATTAATGGTAGATGTCAAATTTTATTAACATAAATAATAGGTCTTATACTGTAGGCCTATAATATATGCACTGTTTGGAATGACAGCTCTATAAAATAACTGTAAGAAATATTATTCCATATAGACTCTTCATTTTACTTTTCCTTGTGTCTTCAGCTGAGAAAGCACGTTGTCTACCTAAAAAAAATATAATATCAACAGTAGATGTGACTTGTGAATCAGTTACTAGAGAACTTCTGCAATGGTGTCAAGAGTTAGGGGAAAAGGCTAAAATATTTACTGGATCGGTCAATCCCATTACACACACCAAATCTCTCAGATCTATTAATGTCTTGATCTCTAACCCTCAAAAATCAACAGATAGGAGAATCTGATCAAATTAAACCCTGCCTTATTAAAGAGCAAATAAAGCACATGATAAAAAGTGTGATAAATGCTAAAAGTGTATTATTAATCTATTTAGTTGTATAAATTTTGTTCAGTGCATGTGAGCTATACTTACAGTGATAAACCAGTGAGACTGCGGCCCATAGCGAAGCATTGACTTGTGACTCATCTGACTTCCTGGAGCCAAAACGTGAAGGTGGAGGTGTGGCACTGATGAGAATGGAGGTACATGAAACCCCATCCTACAACATTCATTCAACTTGGTCAGCACTACCATTAAAAAAAGAGAAAGGTATACCCAAAGTAAGATACAACCAACCCACCTAATATCATCTAAATCTGAAACATTGTTCATTTGTAGAATCCTCATCCCCATATCTTTCATTTGTTCCACTGTAAACACATAACAATTGAAATACAGATGATCATGTGACATTGTTGACAACAAGGAAGAGAAGTTTAAACTTAAGCCCCACCAAGTTTAATGTGGTCAGGTTGTAGTTTCATACAATTGTCAATATGTTTATTTGAAATGATGAGGTAGTGATGAGTGGCCCCTGGCTTCAAGTCACGAAAACACACCACCTCACAGTCCTGCAGAGATCGCTTATAGTGACAAATTGCTTACCATATCTGTGATAAATGAACTTCGCTTTCTAGCTACTTACGCTCATTAAGATTTCCGTATCGGTCAGGTTGTTTGCTATGTGACAAAACTTACAATCGTCTTGTACAGGTGCTCCTTGTGGCTCCATTAAAAACACCGATAATGTAAAGTTTGGGCCATGGGCGGATCCGTCATTGACGCACGCATTCCGTGTGTGGCGTTCAAGTGTTCCCGTACATTTGCCATCGGACTGAAATAATTAATTTTCTTACATGGCAGGTTTTCTCGCAAACGATCTGCTGCATAAGATAGATAAATTATTTATTAAATGTATGGAACACGTAGATAAAATTCCACTCTAGATGATCACTACCTATATTTTTCTTGTGTCACATACCACTATCTTATCTTTAAATTTACATATTGTAACGGTCAGTATTACATTTATATTATTATTGATACTGTAATACTTGATTGCGCCATCAGGTGGCGCCCCTTTTATTTTCTATTATACTGTAAGTCACAGGTCACAGGTCACTCGCTTGTTGCGGTGCTGTGTAATGGACCATGGTAATGGACACACACCTCTGTGCTCTACAAGTCAAGTAATGTGCGGTACCGGTGTTAAACGGACTATTTCCTATTTCATGTATGATTCAGACTTAGCGCCGTGGAGACCTGGCATAGTATGGTTTCTAAATGTGTAATAAACCAAGTATCAGTGGAAATCAGTAAGTCTCGCTCTTCTCTCAGCTATCCCAGAGCACATGTTAAGGGCTGTAGCTAGCGCTCTCCGCCGGATCACTACCACACGTTACAATATTGACATTTATTGTACATTAAAGCCTCTTAATACAGCTATGACACATACACATAATGTTAGCTAGGCCACTTCTTGTTTTGGGTGGGCAATATGTTAGTAGCCTAAGATGAAATATATCACTTTTATCCTAAATGAAATAAATATGGAATCAACACAGTATTTACGGGAAATATTCTTTAATTCATTATAAATTAGGTATAAAAGCTTAAATCTCACAAAATATGGAAATATTGCATTACTACAGTCGGTGCCCTTGCTCGGAGTATAATCATATTTGCACGATTCTAGCATTTGTCTTCATCAATATCGTGTAGTCCTTCAGCCAGGCCAGCAGCAGCATGTTTCAACTTTGGACAGAATTTTCTGAAAATGGTCAGCCTACCAATAAAGAAAAATATTAAACTAGTATAATTATTAATATGAACTACGTAGTTGCCTGACAGATGGACCATTGTACATGGTCAAAGTTTGTTAACTTGCATACCTGCCTATAAAAATACACTTGGTGTGTTTTTCTTACCTCTATAAATCGTTCACCAGGGGTGAATTTATAAAGCATATACTTTGAAATCTGATTTAAGGGAGCAACTACATGAAGATGGAGGTGATCCACTGAAGTGTATGGAGGTATATGAAAACCCAACCTGCAAGAACAATAACAATATAGTAGTTTGAGCTGTTATTTCAAAATGTAAAGTCAGTTATTTATTTCTTTTTTATTTTTTGCTTACCTACCTAATGTCTGTCATGTCACTAACCCCTTGTTCTTGTAAAACAGCTTTGCCCAATTCAGCCATTCTCTCAACTGAATGTTAAAAACACAAGGGTTATTTTCAAGTAAAAAATAAATAAATTAGGCTTACATTTTTGCTTCTGATACATGGGAATTAGGTCATAGAAAATGTAGTAGTAGGCAGTTGCCAAGCAGAACTATAAGCCTATTTGTTTCATGGTACAGATTGAGAGAATATTTCACTTATTCTAAACTAGTGTCAAGACATTGTCATAGAATAAAGAATAAGGAGCAATACCAAGACTGCAGTGATGCCATTGTAAAGACTGACAGCTGACAAAATGTTCTTTGGGTATAACAAGGTAGTGATGGGGGGCAACAGGACAAATGTCTCGGAAACACACCAATTCTTCATTCTGTAAAAAGAAACAAAAAATCAAAGTCACACAAATACATACACTTCAGGTGGTCATTGAACTCATCACTGTACCGTAACGAAACCAAACTATTCGCCAAATACATGCAACGACAATAAAACAATGGATCTATATAATAAGATTATTAATTATTAGTAATTTATTACGTATTACCTGTGAGTAAAAAGGTTTTGACTTGGGCCATGACTGTAAAGTGAGGATATAAAGAGGATGATAGGCTACTACAAAAGAGAATTACCTGTTTAAGGATTTCTGTTTCTTTGTCTTCGCCTTTTGATATTATGCAGAAAATACAATCATCACCCATTTAATCTGTCGATGTAGGTAAACAATATAATCTCTAACTTTAAATGTTGCTAACTATCACAAAAGTTACGAGTTCCCCCAATGTATTCCTTTCCAGCCATAGACTACTTCCTACTTCGTAGATCGTCTATTGATTGCACCAGAGATACATGTAGAGCACCTGCAGAATGCAGAAGTATCAGCTGATCATACCGGCAGGGAATGTTGATGAACACGTAAACCTTGCTTGAGCACAAAAAACATGAAGAATGAGTGGGTCAAAGGGTCAAATGATGGATCAAAACAATGTTTGGCAGATACTTTTCAAGGATCCAGGAGGTAAGTAGACTAGAAAAAACTTACAGTAAAAGTCCTTATTGAAGCAAAGCGGACATGCGGACGCGTTTGTTCCATAGACTGTATATATTTTTATACAGTCTATGGTTTCTACCATAAAGTGCTCTTCTTAGGGGCAAACATGAAGATTTAAAATAACCACCAGGTGGCCGTAAAAGTAAAAACATGGTCACGTGACTAACTCGTCATCAAAACACATTAGTATAACACGTGACAATAAAATAATGACAACGGAGAGAAGACAAAGGAGAGAGGGCCTACTTAGAAACATCAAATTAAAAGGACATTTGCTGGCTACTCATAGTTGTATCTACTATATGAATATGATAAAAGTCATGGTATTGCAGGTCACCCCGGAAACTATCAGGGGTGGGACAGACTAAAAATTCAATGTGATGTCAATAGTGAATACAACTACATAGTATGCGTTATAATTACCATTTATTTGGCTTAAATGTGGTTGCAGTAACACACAATAAATAGATTCTTGGTGATAAATCACACCAATTATGGATTTACAGGTAATACTTTGAGAGCATTCACAGTCACAACATTTAATAGCCACAACAACAAAGATCAGTTTAACATGAAGTAATGAGTAAATAGTATGGCATGTATGATAATAGTATCGGCAGTATTGTTTTCATGCACACAAAGTTTGTGTAAGTATCCCATTAAAATAAGTTCTAGCCTGGCATAAAATAACAACAGCCCAAAAAGTAAACTCAATAAGCCAAGGTGTGGTTGTCAAGTCTCCCTCGTGTTAGTGAACAACATTCAGTGAAAATAATTTAACAAAAAATGATTGAAATAAGGGCTTCAGGAAGGAAAGGTCAAAAACCCTTTAGTGCAAGTGACACAATAAATCTAAAATTGGCTGCACCTTTGAACAATATTAACTACAAAATGGAAAGATGAAGTGTAATTTTGACATAATACTTAAGTGTAGTGCTTGTTGAGTGGCGCCAACTAGTTCAAAATCTAAATGCATTTCACATTTTCATAAAAGTAAGACCATAAAAAAACTGAACACTCTTTGTAAAAACGGAATGTAAAAATACAATCTAATAAAAATAAAAACTTGAAAGAGCACATCTGCAACTCACTCAGTCATTAACAATCTGCTTAGACACTCTGGATGCCCCAATGCCTTTGGAGGAACATAAATATCCTTAAAAGGGAGGATTTTAATGTAAACAATTCCAAAATATCAAACTAATTGGATGTGAATGCTCAGAGCTTCAAGTTTTAAATTTGTTGTATAGTAAAGCAAAACAATGCACCTCTCCAACTTCCAAAGTTTGGATATCAATTCTGTACAATTTGAACATACAAATTATATAAACAATAGTGTCTATACATGAACACACAGCTTGTTGGACAGCTTATATATAATTTGGTATTTACAAAGATTTTACCCTTATCAGTAACAAATGCAGACTGGCCTCAGTGTTTCCCTTTTGGCCCTAAAGAATGGTAATCTTTTAACAGGTAAATAATAAGGCGGTCTGCATGCTGGGACAGCTAGTGGTGAAAGTTAAGGCAGTCAATACAATGTGAGGACAGCGTCATTTTCTCACATCTTTAACAGCAGTCTAAAAATCTCAATTTACATGTAGATTAGGCCCACTTCAGAATCTTACATTTTTTCCAGCAAAGCCTGAATCATCTTACCTTTCAAAATGCACAAGCCTACATTTACACAGTCACATTTTCTCACAGAATAGCAGGTGTATTTTGAGATAATGTGGTTGGCTCCATGTGGTATAAGAATAGATCCAGTGATGTTGAAACTTGCGGGTAAGACCTGTATTGATGCTACTCAAAAGTCCAGACCTCCAGGCTGTGGATGTTGAAGTCTTGTTGAGTGGAAAGTGGTGGGTTGTTAAAGGTTGCACACTTAGTGGTCGTGCCCCGGTACAGTTCAGCATCCAGCCACAAACCAAGCTGCCCACTAGAAAGAAAAGAGGAGCCAGTCAATACAACTTGTAGGGTTTGACACAATAACATATTTCTTGTGCAGCTTTAAAGATGCACTATGCAACCTTTCTGGTGGTGAACTGGCTTCCATAGAGATGTTATTGCGCTGCATGTTTCACAGTATGGCATTCAACCATTCACTGTATAAAGAAGTGGATTAAGGGAGTGTGACGTCACCCATATCATTCGGCTCCAGTCAAATGAAGCTCACAGAGCCTGGCAGTTATGGGGCAAATTTGGAGCAGAGTTCCATATTGGGAACAGAAACAGATTTTCGGACAAACTGGCAAAATAAAAACACCAGGATTATGTAGAGTGGGTTAATATGAACATTTTAAGACTAAAATGAGGTGCCTGACAGCAGCAGTTTCAATACAAAGTGAATTGGAGCTGGAGTCGATGGAGCCAGAAGCGCGCTCATGGTCACTTCCTATTTGGAGTGCAGAGGACTGTATAGGGCAGGGGTGTCAAACTCAAATTCACAGAGGGACAAAATTAAAAACTGGGTCATGGGTCATTAAAAGTCATGGGCCAAACTAAATATTTATTGAAAATTTTCATTAACATCTGCATGTTTTCTCTTCTTTTGGGATGAAATGTTAAATCTTTTCTTATTCAAATAAATGTTTAATAATAGTTTTGCTTAAACACTGAATCCAGAATAAGCATAATATAAAATAATAACAAAAATTTACATAAATAATGTCTCTATAGCCTATCTGTAGCCGACGTGGCCAGCTCTAATAAATATTTGATATGATCTCGCGAGCCAAATATAAATATATCGGGGGTCAAAGTCTGACATGTCTGATAAAAGGCAAATATAGTCCAACTCATCTATCTTACATTTATCTCCTTACATGTATTCTTACTGTGAGTGGTTTCAGCTGATAACAACCCGACCTGTAACTTGGCAGTTACCGGATGGGCACTATGGAGATAGATAGGTCTACTGCCATACTTCGGAACATTCCAGACAAAGCAATAACATCTACATCTACTAGGTCTACTGCCATACTTTGGAACATTCCAGACAAAGCAATAACATCTCCATGGAGACAAGTTGGTGGCAGACCCTCCATCAGAAAAGTTACATTGTGAACCTTTAATTGCTGACTTGTTCATACCTTCCTCCTCCCATCTGCAGAGAGTCAATATTCCCTTTGACGAAATAAGAGTTCTCTCCAGTCCAGCGATACACCTGAAAAAATTATGCAAATCATCCATCATCAGATCATCAATATTCTTATTTTTTTGAACCACTAGAGGTAGATATAGACTGCTGCCTAACAAAACATCACAAGGGCTGCAGTTTTAGAGATGCTCTGACTGACAGGTTCAGTAATTACACACACCATCACATTCATAGTCATAGTGCAATTCTGAATCTATTCTCTTTGTATTATCAATAGTTTAAAATTACATGTAAACATGAAACATGTACAAACCTTGATTTCAGGGCAAAAGCTGTAGAGGAACGTTTCTCCAGTGCCATAGAAGCTGTCAGTAACTCTAAATGGATGTGTCGAGAAAGCTCCAAATATCTGAAGAAAAATAATGAGTATATTTATTTTGCCTCTTTAAAACTATTTATCAATAGTAACATTTTTCAGCTTACTTGGTGATCCATATCTTTGATGACTAGTAACACTGGACTGTCCACATCCAATAGGCTTCTGTATAGTGTCTTTAGGCTTGTCCCATGTTTCACAGTGCTATAGGCCAGTCTCCAAGGGTAACCTTGCACCCGAGCTGGTAAACGGCAGGCGAGCTGGAGAGCAGAATAATCAGATTTAAGTCCTGGAGTGACCTGGTTATCTCCGTCTCTACATGCCTGTCAATAACTGTTTGTCAATAAACCTCACATGGTAACTCCGCAATGATAAAAAAAAGACCTACTTTCTCAATGTGGGTGTCTTCCAATAGGTCACTGCTGTCTGTGAGTAAAGGCAGCACATCCACGGAGTCAGCATCACAGCTTCCGAAACTCTGCCTACGCTTGGCCTCATTAATGGTGATTATCTAGAAAAGAAATTAATTAAAATTAAATTATGAAGGGTTTATTGTGGAACAACCAGTAATGGATGCAGTTGTAGTGAAAGTAACAGTGTAGTAGGCAATGTAACGCAGCAGAGTATATTTGACTGTACATTTGCATAGTTATGTGCACTTAAATTGTAATAAAAAAATATTTGTCTTGAGAATACATTCATTCATTCATTCATTCAAAATAACGAATAAAGGATATGTTCCAGATGGATGAGTATCACAAATGAACTCACCTCCCAGCTACAAGAAGCAGGGTCACCAAAGAAGTTGTCAATCATATCCAGTTCATCCTTCTCCACCAAAACAAAGCCCTGCTCCCGGGCCTCTTTACCATAGACATCAGACCACTGCACAAAGAATGAGTACAAGTGGTCTACCCTGTAAAGCAAATTCACAGAGAGATAAGTATTTTCATATTTTTAACCCCAAATAGAAGAATGTTGAGTTTATATCAATATATAGTGTCTATGTAACTAGTCCACCTGCTTGTCTTGTATGAATATATTACTGCTTTGGCTGGAATGTTCCACAATGTTAAATGTTAACCTGATCTATCTTGCATTTTATTAAACTACAGGTGTTTTTATTGCTAAAAACAACATGCATTCTCACTGTAAGGGGGCTCCGCAGATCTGTCCTGTAACTTCAAGTGAAATACTACTACTACAGAACATTCCAGGCAAAGCAACAACTCCTCATGGAGATAAGAAAGTGGCCAGAAAAGTTACATAGGGAAACTTTTAGCTAGTTTTATATACCTTTCTTGAGGCACAGCAAACCAATATTCTGGTTGTCTTCCCCAGCCTCCCAATGTGTGGGCAGGGCTTGAGGTTAATCCACTAGTAAAGGACTTCCTCATTGGCTTTCCCACTTTAAAGCACAGAAACATGGGTGGATTTTTACTCTTCTCCTCGGATGACAGAAGCATGCCTACAACAAAACCATAGGGACAGTTAGCCAATGTTCCTGTAATGTGCTGAGTATATAGTTTTCTTGGATTACATAATATAGACCTTCAATTGGGGCCTGCATCCTCTGTAGCAGCCACGACTTCACCTCTGCTTCATAGTTTTTCTTCCGTTTCTCCTCCTCACTGAGTTCATTTCCTTCTACTGGCTTGCTTGCTACTTCCTCTGTTCTTTCTAACGATTTTGGACTCATTTCTTGAACATTTGACAGTTCCCCTTTAGTAGAAATTGTTTTTTGGTCTGCCATATTCTCTTCAACTTCCTTCACAGAATCAAGCTTTTCATGGTCCACAGATTTGACATCTTTGGCTTCAGTAACTTGTTGACTCTCACATTTCTCAACCTTTTTTAGAGTCTCTGATAAAGATTGGATTGATCCATCCTCAATGGAGCTGTTCTGAGCAACCCCTTCATCGTCGTCTTCTTCGTCTAACTTCCCTTTGGTTCCACAATTTACTGGTTTGTCCTGGATAGTTGAGGTGATCTGTCCTCGGGGCTCATTCTGATCTTCGCCTTTGTTTAGAGTTATAGATGTCCCTTCTCCATCCTCAGTGCTGCCATTTACAGTAGGCTCCAACTCTGTGAATCCTTCATCCGATGGGGTCTTCTCAGTTTGATCCATGACTGTATTAACTGATACAAAACAACATTAAAATGAACATTATTGAACCTAAACAGAAATAATAGCACAGTTTTGAGTACTGCTTTGTAATAACCAATTAACTATTGACATTAACAAACTAATTAGCCTTAATAAAACATAGGCAAAAAAACAAAACATCCTAATAATTTGGCTTAGCAACGAACTACTTAATTAATACTCAAACCCCTTATGATTCAGGCTTAGTAACCACTTAAAGGTCCTATAGTACACAAAATGGATTCTTGTCCACTTTAAACAATGTTATAATGTTGTTACATCATCAAGACATACCTGGAGTTGTGTTTTGTTTCTGTCACACACATTTGAGTAAGCCTTTATTATGAGCCTGTCTTTGTTTCCAAAGCTCAAAATGCTCTATTCAACCATGTGTCATGTTTAAGTTAACAGCTACCTTCTACATTTAGTTCAGTAGAGATTGGCATTTCCAGGTATGAAATCATCTGAATGATTCTAATGAAGATATATGGAGTTTAAAAACATAGTTGAACACTTCATGTATTACCACATGACATCTCAAGGTGGAACAGTGTTTTCTGTTTGAAAGAACAAACAACACTATGTATGTTTGAGATTAGGAAATAACATTATAACATAGATCAAAAAATAGCGCAATATGGACACTTTAACTATTTGCTCTTTATGAATTAAGTGTTTGTTTAGGCTTTATTAAGGCTAATTCAAGTGTAATTATTATAAAGTGTTACCCATCTTTGTGGTTAGTTACACACCAGTTTCTGATAGGGTTGAATCGATGTCGTCCAAAACAATAGGTCTCTTTGGATTCTGAGCTTCGTAGCGACTAAAGGGGTTCAAGTCCTGTTCTGAAGGAAGCTGCTCCCATTCCCCAGGCCTGTATACGGGACAAAGATCCTCAGGTCGGTCCCTATCAGGTCATGCAGCACCACACAGCACACGGCACAGGATGGTGGAACAGAAATGAGGAACAGAAAAACACAAATTCAACTGAAATTTAAAAATGGATCAACTTAAAAACAACGCAAGATGATGACAAACATAAAATACAAAATAGACTGGAGTACATAATCCATGTGAATAAAAAGTAGTTTTAAAGACAAACAAGAGTGTCATATAGAAAACACACTAGAAAACAACAAATGCTTTCATATTAATCAAATAATAATTTCATATTTCATATTCATAGCAAATATGTATTATTTTTCTAATATCTTTCATATTAGAGCCCCACTCTCCATATTAGATAACTACTAAAATCTTAAACTTTTGTATGCAGTTATTTTTTCTGCACTATTTTGGTTATATAACCCAATCAGTTTATGTGTATTACTTGAACCTCCATTTACAAGCATATTTTAGATTGCACATTTCTGATGGATTGCAAAAATATGGTCTGTTTATAGTCATTCAGAAGATGCACAAATAAAAGTCTATTCTAGGACAAAAAAAATTAAAATAAACTAAAACAAAACAAGAACCATGGAAAAGTTGCACAACAAATGGGGCAAAATACTCCATGTGTCCCTTACGATGGCAGGACATCCTTGAGCCTCATGCGGGACACATCATTGTACAAGGCCACAGAGACCACCTCGTCCATGGGGCAGATCAGACCGTACTCCTCACAGCCGTGCTCGATCACCAGGGGGTCCGACTTATGAGGGTCGAACATAATGTTGTTGGGGGTCACAATCAGGACACCACCCACCACTCCCTACCAAAATAAGAGCCTCAATGTAATTTAAATATGAGAAAGAGAAGTGTTGTCATCATAACATTTCACACTTGAGGAAAAAGCATGATCACAAGATGCCATTTTTGATACAATGATAATAAACTGTATAACTCTTAGACAATGGAAAATAAAAAGTTATTTCTTTAATTTTACCATGTGGTCTTAGAATATTTGTGATATAGATCAAGACTATTCAACTATTCTGGGAAGGTGCAATTTTGTCTTATTTATGTGATTTAATTCAGTGTCGACATGCGTTCAAATAATCATCCAGCTTCACTACTACTTTTAGAATCAACTGAGTATTGATTTTTGACAACCTTACAATGGAGTATCATACAGTTAATTCATACCATGCCATCTGTGAAATATTTGCAGCTCATTTTGATAAATTTAACAGTCGCTGGGCTCTCATCTTCTGAATTTGGGGAAAGTTCTCGCCGGATGGAGTTAACCGTCCTGCAGTCTGTGAGGCCATCCTAAAACACCAAGCAGATGTTAGTTCATTCAACATGTACAAATAGATCCTTAATTTATTAATATGCAGTTATTCACATTTTTAGATATTCATGATACAATTATTCAGGTGAATATGACTTACTTGTGATTTTTCAGTCAAGTCATTTGATGAGTTTTGGTCCAACTGGCTCAGATCAGGAACAAATAATTTCTGTTATGGTACAATACAGTAAAACCCAAATTTAGCAGGATGGATAATGATGTTCAACAGTGGCTTTTAGTTTGATGTTAATGCAGTATTTACCTGACCAGGATAAACACTACGAGAGAACAGTTTATTTAACTGGACCAGTTTGTTTGGCGTGATGTTAAACTTGAGAGCGATACTGTTTAGGGAATCATTTGGTCCAACCTGGAACAAAGAAGTATTTGTGATATGTTCATATTTTATTTATACAATTTCTACAAAGGGACACCATCTTGTGCTTGTGCTTACTTACAATAAACTCCACAGTTCCAGGAGGCCTTCTCTTCTCCCACTTTGACTCATTAGTTTTATTGCCACCATCTACAGGATAAAATACACTTCATTATGAACTAAATGGGGTTTTAACATATAGTTAGAATGGCTGTTATCTTAAATTACTCCAAAATGTGACCTTAATACCAGATAAGAGCCAGTCCTATTTCTACAAATATAACAAACATAACAAAGGCATTAGTTAAATGTCTCTTATAGTGTGTTATAGAAAGGCAATAGCAAAGGAGCACAAGAACACCCCAGTAACACAAGTCAAGCTTAGTGAACTATTATATTGTGACTGCATCAATATATTCTAGCCAACAATAATGAACAGTACAGAAAGTTTGCACAGCTGTCTGCTTACTGAATGTATGAGAGGCAGCTGATAATTACACTGCTTTGTTTAGTGGAACAAGTGAGGAGTCATATTACAACATAAAAGTCCATTGTAAAATTATGAACAAATTCAATTAATTTGTAGGTTTAAAAAGAATAAATTATTAGAAGACCAAATGAACATCATTGAACTATAGTTGGATAAATTTTTGGCCATATTGCCACTGTCTTCTATACACTCTATATTATTTAGTACAAAAAAGGTGTAAACATGTTGTGTGAGTAAAGAGTAGATTAGTAATAAACATAGCTTCGTTATAGGAATATATGAGTAAATGAGACTTACTTGAGCATGCCGGTGGCTTTTCGGATATCATCTGTGGTTCTGCCATTTTGTTTTGGTTTGTGCCATTGGTCATATCAGGACAGGAGATGAGGGAAGGTTTCTGGTCATTTACAGTTTTCTCCAGCTGTTTGAGTTGCTTACGCCTCTTCAGCCTGTTTCAAATCCAGAAAACGGTGGTAACAATCAGCTACAGATGATCGAGAATTTCTCTGAACAATTTTTCAGTGATAGCTGACAACTTAAGGTATGACAAATTTCAACCGATGTAAAATTTCCAAACTAGCCTAAATACAACTTAAAGGTCCTATATTATGCAAAATTTACTCTTGTTATTGTGTTTTGTTTCAGTCACATGTTTGAGTAATACTTCATTATGCTTTCTACATCTCCAAAGCTCAAAATATTCAGTTTCACCTTTATGATGTCACGAAGCAGTAATGTTCAAATTAACAGAACCTTTTATCTTTAGTTCAGTAGAGATAGACAATTCCAGGGCTGAAATTATCCAAATGATTCTAATAAAAGTGTATGAAGTTTAAAAACAGACTGGAACACTTCCTGTATTACCATATGATATCACATGTTGGACCCCGTTTTCTGTATGAGAGAAGAACTCAGCCTAAATATGCAGGGGTTTGTGTGTTAAACATGTGAGAATAAAACAAATCACAACTCCAGGTATGTCTGTGATGAGGGAACAACGTTATAACATAGATTTTAAAAAAAAACTGCATAATATGGGCCCTTTAATTTCCAGACTAAACAAACATTGTCTGCAGATAAGCATATGCAATGTCTGACCTCCTGACCCAAGAAATTGAGCCTTCTTCACTCAACCTATATAGTTTTAACACCACATAAATTACTTTAAATGGCTCACAAACTCAAATTTATGTGGGCAGTATAATAACAGAATAGTAATAAACTGTATAAGCGGTACGTCACTGTCAAGTCAGCCTCATTAAAGTCAGTTTTTGCCGTTATAGCATGTGATTTACTGATGTTCACTTCAGCTCTGTTGCATCAGCTCTAATGGTTGCTCCATCATTAATCATTGATAGTTTAGATATTATGCAATACCAGTTCCAGTCCAGACCAGACTGTTTTGGGGTGCATAGAGGGGTACTACCGCAATGCAGCTGCAGACAGCTCAACAAAAGTAGAGCACTTAAGGATAATGGATCTACTGTATGAAGTCTATAGTCAGTGAAGCTTTAAGTGTGGGTTTGTTGGAGGAAGATAAGGACAAGAGACAATCTATTATGTGTCTTGGTGCAGAGGATTTTTGCTGCAGGCCAAAGTAGAATAAAGGGAGAGAAAACAGAGGCACCTTTAATGTTGAAGTAGTTAATGGAAATGTTGGAGCAGGTCGATAAGGCTGCAGACAGACTCTCCCAGTGAAACCCAGGACACTCACATCTGGTGCACAACTCAGGAATTCACAGAGACACAATGTACTTCGGCAGGGCATTTGCAAGAATCTGTACTCTCTCCTGAAGTTTGAACCCTTCAGATTCTAATACCACTTTATTCTAAATGGGAACAGTCTCGCATACATACATAAAATATTTTGATGGAAAGGTGAGAGAACCAATTGCTTCTGTTTTGATCTGCTACTTCTCAGTCACGTTGCATTTGTAAAAACACCCAAACGACAGCAGTGGTTGGCCTTATATAATGAGCTGCAAAATGTTGTGGTCTAATTGTCCGGAAAGCAGTGAACACATGGTGATAGGAGGAGCAGAGGGAGCATGTGCTGGAGCTGAGATGACAGATAAAGTCCACTTCACTTCCTGACATGTCCCCATGTGTGCCAAAACCAAAGCAGAACACCTGAGTATATTACAAAGTGAGAATAAAACATGTAGTACTTAAATTGCTGATTAGAGACAATATAAAACATAACACTTGCATTAAACTGATCGATTTTCTCATGACTAATGTCCTAGATGATGAAACAGCATCTTTCTTCAAAATATCATAACTTCCTGAAGGCAAGATGGCTGTGACCAAAAAAACAAGAATCATTTCAACCTTGAAAAAATATTAGGTACTCAAAGCAGCAGAAGCACCAATTTTTAACTACACAGGATGTGTGACATTTTGAAATTCATCATCAGTGTACTGGACATGATCCCAAGGAAATATGATATCAGCCCCAGGAAATTTGATGCTCATGCAATTTACAAACCATTAGAGCAAAGCTTTGGTGAAGACAATGTAACCTAATTAAGAGCATCAATATTTTAAAAAGATAGTGGACTGAATTGATAGTGAAGGTTTAGTAGGTTTAGTTTAATGATACTTTTAGTTTTAAAATAAAAAGAAACTCAAGCAGACTATGTAATAAAATTGTATTGTGTTGTCACATACCTCGCAAAATACCCTGGCTTCCTCTCGATCTTCTCCATCTGGCCAAAGGGCTAAATGTGCACTTGGGCATGCAGGGCCATGCAAACATCCACACGCTCCAGACCAGGCCCAGCAGAAAACTGTGGGACAATCGGCCTATGCCTCACACTTTTTCGTCCTTGCCCTGTATAAAACAAACGTGTATATGATTGTATTGTCCTTGGGGTCTTTTTCAACAACAGATTGACGCAGCTAAAGGCGTATTACGCATGGCGAAGCTTTGGCAAGGCACGGGAGGACGCTGAAAGCCTCACCATCTCAACTCATTCATGATCTAACATCGGCTGCCCAACAGTATGGAAAATACACACCGCTGCATGACACATCTGACACTTTAGCACATGTGGTATGTTATGTAACAAGGCTAGACCACACATTTAAATCTACATTTTGGGGGAAGAGTGTGTAATGAGCGCGTGCGTACCTAGCTACCGCAGCAAAATATAGGGAAATTGTTGGAAATCCAAATTGCTATTTTTATTTCTTTTTGTCTAGAACATTACAAATATTTTATAAGATGGAATTTTCAAAAGAGCCCTTTACCTTATAGACTACATGCTACATTTCTCGCATGTAGCAGTCGTAGATCCACCTTCAAGCTCAATGCTCAGTCCACGTCCACCAGACAGGGCTAAAAACAGATGGAGTAGCTACTTATGCTAGGAGGACATTCGCAGGCTCTACGGTCTAAACGCAGTAAAATATGCACCGATCAAGGTCCACCGTTTCAGCTGATTTGACGACAGCCTTCGCTCACACTAGCTAGCCACTTTGTTTACAAGACAATAGCCACCTGGTGGATATTTTACGCATATTACCCCGGCAGTGATTCTGGTAAGCTCTATGTGGCTTTATCTGCAGCTGTGCTGCATCCTTGTCTCTAGCAAAATAAAAAAGCTCAGGGATTGTTTGTTTTTCTCATACCTCAAGTGCATCCTTCTCCCACAGATGAACATTAAAGTGGAACCGCTCCCTTAGGGCGCCCTCTGGTGTCAGTTTCTATGTAAACGCACACGTAAACAAAATGCCTTTAGTGGTTTAACTAATCTATATTTACTGATCGTATAGCGATCAATAAAATTACACCTACATTTTTATCAACCAATCCTTTACAGATACAATTTAAACATTGTATGTCACGAACCTGTATACGTAACTGCAATATTAGAATAATACTGTACCTTTTCCCGTGTCTGTTAGCCTTCCCTGGTGGTCTAGTGGTTAGGATTCGGCGCTCTCACCGCCGCGGCCCGGGTTCGATTCCCGGTCAGGGAACTAGCTTTTGGACCATAGAGGTATGTGTATGTTTAACTTTAATAAATAAATAATAATGTTTATAATTGAAACTGCATTAATGTTGATTTTTTTTCCATCTACAGCCGCAATACATTAGCTGTCTCCTTATGACTTGCTGCATTTTACAGCAGCTGAAGTGTATGTAGTCACAGGTTTTAAAATGTAACAGTAATCACACCTGGACCTTAGCTGCTGGTGTCCTAACCTGCAGAAAGAGGACACATACAGTTTTTCATTCACAGTATATTGACAGTCCATTTCTCATGTGAAAGCTCAGAGTTTCATCCACTGAGCTGCCGGTGCTAGTTTTGGTAGTCGATAAGACAGTTTAGATTTGTCAGTCATCAACCACAACACATAACATTAACAAGGATTTGACCTTCATGCTTAATCTTAATTATTAAAAATAATTACAGTTGTTATCATTTTTTAACAAAAATCCCTGCATAAGTTTCTGCATAAGTGCCACATACCTGCAAGAAAAGAACCACAAAACTATATCAACACGTCACTTTCAATAGGTAAAAAAAAAAGGCACGTAAATGTAACGATCCAACAATCACACCACTAGATGGAGACATTGTAATGCAACTGAGGTCAAATGTGATGCGAGCAAAAAATGGCAAACCCATAGACTGTATATGGGAGAACCTCAGCACAGTGTTTTAAGTGTGAGATAGCATTGCAGTGCTATTTCAGTCAGGCATAATTTTCTTTTTGAAACCTAATCTTAGTTATTTAATACAATCATATAGTAACTGGCAGATTTCACATTTATTTATTCTACAGTTTTACATTACTTTTTCATTTGAGGAGCTTTGTTTCATATGGCCCTAGGGTGGACCAGAGACTCTGGCAGCAGGGTCTGTGACTGGACAGCACTGGTTAACCAGTTCCTGCCTGACTATGTATCTTGGCTGTTATTTTGACAGGCACTATCAATGTGAGAGGAGAGATAACTTGTCTTGGGGATCGACATGGCGCCGGTGTGTCCGTCCTCTGGCCTGTGCAGACTTTCACCAACACCTTCCATACTCTAACCCGCTGGAGCAAAGGATTATGGGGCACGGTGAAGATGAAAGCTGAATTAGAGTTGGCATGTGTTCTGTTATGACAAATCTCCATGGGCCAATTTTTTACACAGTACTTTATAATTTTACAGTACACTAGTATTTTTAGACCAAACCTAAGCATTTCTGGTCATGCCCGAAGCCATTTGTGTAGGAGTAGCCCCAATTTATAGTATTTAATAAAACTAAAATGATGAGTTATTGTAAAATTTGTCCTTCCCTTAATTTCTTCAAGATGGGGCTTCAAATGCTGTAAAACACACTAAACGACCCTAATCTCCCCCTTGTCATATGGAATCTGTACACAGTTTAATTATTTCAGACTATAATCTTTATGGTACTGTCCTGCTAGGAGCCACAAAGTATAACATATTTTACTATCACACATAAACATTATTACTGCAACAACCAGGTATAATCATCTATGTTCATCAGCGCTTTTGGTCTGGTGGTAAAAATACAACAACAATCTTATATTTTTATGTAAAATCACAGAGATTTGACCCACAGCAGGCCTTGAGTAGATTTCAAATCATTTTTGTCAGACGTCAAACACTGGTAGCTTAGACTACTTCTTCTGATAACTTCAAGTACACAATGAAAGCAAGATGTCACTATACCTAAACAATGAAAAAGCATATGTCACACAAATGTTAAGTGATTAGAGAAGGTATAAGATTTGTTTGTATTCTGTATTGCACAATTACTAACCATTTGGTGGTCCTTGTTCTTTTTAAACATGTTATTATCGCATTTGATATCTTCCCTAAGGCCAAGGTTGTTTCAGTTTCTTTTCTTTTGTGAACCTCTGCCCTTTGAACAATATTAATAATGGTTATATTAGCAAGCAAACTTAAAAATGCATGTCTTCTTTGTTTATTTGTGTTTGCTACAATACAAGTTGTAATTATTAAAAACATATTATAGATAAAATTAAATTCACTTATATGGTATATCTGGTGATAGTTGCTTCACTGGTGGTCTATGGGTGGTCCAGACTAAATGAATGACCACCTACTCAGGGTTACCATAAGGTTACTGACCCCCTCTGCATGCATACACAAGCACATGCTTTCTAGTTGACCGCTAGGGCAAGAAGCAGCTTCATACTGTATACCATCCCATGCCACACTGTCAATCTGCACCGTCAGCTGAGCCACGGCAGCTAGTGACCTTTGACCCACGGACTGAGTGGCAGACGAAAGGTTATCAGTAACGGGGTTTTGGCTTTTTAGACTTTAATGGTCAACACTGGGCAGGGACGATGTCGAAAATTGGAAAATAAAATAGTCTAAATGTTGCTTTTGAGAGCTATACTGAATTAGGCTTTCTCTTATGTAGCCTATGGTTGTGTGATCACAGTGGGGGGCAAACAGTGGACTGTGTTGTTTACCCTGCTTATCAGAGGTGTTGTAACAAGTTGAGGAGCAAATACGTTGACCCCAACACGCATGCTAAACCCTCACCTGCAAATAACCCCAAGATCTATAGGTAATTTCTGCATCTCATACTAAATGCAGACTTACTACAACAATATATTCTGTCTTTCTGATATTTGATATGTCCAGAGATGATAAAAAGGAATATAATGTTACCAGTAAATCTCCCCAAAGCCTTCTTAACTCTCCTCTGATCACAGCTGCCATTTAAGAGGCCGTATGACATGAAAAAGTACAGCCATGGTCCATCTCATGGGTATGACTATGAGCTGTGGAAAACGGGGCCTATAAATAAGAGCTGTAAATACCTTTATGAATTATGTCCACGTCTTCTCATTTATGATGGTGAGATAGCCCTGAGTCAACTGTTTTTCTATGTTGTGTTTCTCTACAAGGCAAAAGGTTGTGTGTTTTGGGTACTGGCATCAGATATGAAAACAAAATAATATTAGTAGAGTAGTAGTAGTAGTAGTAGTAGTAGTAGTAGTAGTAGCAGTTTGTGTAGAAATTCATTATATGGTTCTTAAAATTACTCAAGTAAGAGTAAAGAGTATTTGAAGAAACTACAACTGAAGTAAGAGTAATTATAAGAGTACATTCTGAACGTGACATCTGATTTAATCATTTGACATTAAAGCAATTGAAAGGACAAAATATTCAATAATGCATACACTACTACTACAACTACTACTATTTTCAAAGTAAATCAAGAATTAAATCAATCAAGAAAGTAGAGTAATAAACAATGTAAAAGCTTTTGTCCCTTCCAGACAGTGAGAAGAGTAACTACAACTGTTACACTGCAAACTATATTACTCAAGTAAGTAGGTAGGAGTAATAATGTCTGAAAACTACTCTGAGAAGTACAATTTTAATAAAACGCTATTCAGGTAATAGTAATTAAATAAATATTACTGAGTCCGTCTCTCCTCTGACTTGCATGCTGCTCTCACACACTCTCACAGACTCTAGTTAGCTTAAGCTAGCGCCACATCAGTCCATCATCGCAGATATGGGCCTGCGGTTAGATAGCAGGTCTGGCGGCGCACAAGACATTTTGTCCACTCTGTCATGTTTACTTATAATGATAAGCTTTGATGGATTCTCTGCAAGCTATAGACGCCACGTTGCACACACCATGTAACTTACACATGCAAGATTGTGCACATAAACATTCTGAGGGAATAACTTGAAATAACCAAATAAATAGAATATATATGCCAAGAAATAGATAAGACAGAATTTATGAATGGTGACTAAACAGATAAGCTCATATAATAAATGACTGATTACACTTGTGTTAAATATAAATTGCTGAGTGACAGTTAAAAGTAAAATGAAAACAGTTTAAAACAATAATGTAAATGCAATAAAAAAAAAAAAAAAGACAACAAATTGTATGAATATAGTTTATGGTCCACAGGTACTAAATCGTCTCTCACACATGATCAATAACAATCTTATCCTAATCAGAAAGTGTCTTGGTGAGGCTTCAATGGGTGCTGGCCTGTGCAGTGTTAGCCTGCTGGTTTATTTTAGCCTGGCTTTGGGCCAGACTTCTGACGAGCCCATTACGACGGATCTGCACCAATTAAAGAGACTAATGAGAGCAGCAGTTTGTCATGTCAGGGGGTCAGGAGGAGGCACAGAGACAGACAGGGCACACTCACTGTATATGTTTATCATACTAATGTGATCTCAGTGTTATCAACCTTTCAGGGTCACACTGAGAGAATATTGTAATATTTACTTTTATTTTAATGAGTGCTTTTTTTTCATTGGTGTCAGGATTATAGTAAGCCTGTCCATGGGTTTCAGAAATATGAAATTAGGACTGTTGCCAAAGCAATTCTTTAAAAAAGTCATGAAAACATATGACAGGAAGCTGAAACCCATGTCTTATTTAAATTACATTTAAACATGATATTAAGTAAATATTTTTTGCAACATACAAAAATCTTTTACTCACTTATAGCCAACACCTGTCTAACTTGTACACCACTAAAGCAACCCTCCAAAATGCAATTTTTGTTATATAAATCAACCCTATCTTAATATAGATATGTAATTTCTTCTATCTCCAAACTCAAGTCCACTTCACTCATTCAATAATTTCAGCTCAAGGCCAGTGCAGTAATCAGTGCGTTTTGGGGAGTGTGTTTGACAGAGAGAAAGAGAAACCCACAACAGAGAGAGGTGGAAGTGAGGACTTTAGCAACAAGGGCCTCTTTCTTTCTCTGAGTCGTACCTCTCAGCTCAGTCAAGGCCGCGCTTTTCTTCCTCCTACTTGGTTGTAGAGGAGGTCAAAGACTCATATACACACTCAAACAAACACATTTCTGAGAGCGGCTGCAACCGTTACAAATCTCCTGCGCCTTATCGAGGACAACTCACTGATAAGTGTGTCTCCACTCCCCATCCGACAAATCCATCTTCCAAAACATCTGACACAAACTTAGCACCGAGTGGGAAAAATATGGGGCTAACTGGCAGATTGATGGTTCAATTCCCTCCCATCACTGTGCAAGAAGCGAGGCAGCACAGAAAACTTGATGATGGTGGGTTTGACAAATACATATACTAGATATAAGAGGTAGTGATAATTAACCGGGTTTGGATGACATGGATTGTGTGTGTGTGTGTGTGTGTGTATGTGTGTTGTTGCTGCACACTTTGGGAGTGCTGCACCTGCAACTAATGATGAGAAAAGCGCCAGCTTCTCTCACTCCCTATGGTCAACCTTGCACCTGATGACCCAAAGCAGCTCACTGGATCTACACATCTTTGACATAGGCGGGACAAATAGTTTCAAAATCAAAGTTTATCAAAAAGTCAGTCAGTTAATGTAAGAATCTGTACTTCTGTACTTTAATTGATAGTTAATAAAAGGCCAACAAGTAAAAAATGCTAGTAACATCTCAAATCAATTAATGTCATGTAATACACAGTATGGATTTGTTTGTAAGACACTGATGACAAACATCTTACTTTGAACAAATACACCATTCCTCAATCGATTTGAATATTTTTATTAAAAACATCTTCATTTTTAAGTGCCTAGATCCATCCACATTGCCACCATGCCACATATTTTACAGCACTACACTGTTTATTAAAGAAGTATTTTGTTTAGTGAAACAGGAAAAAGTACATCTTCTTTCTTTTGTACTCTTAATTCTGTCTAAAATAAATAAATGACTGCATTTTAGTAAGATAAGAAAAGGTGAGTGCGGTCTGGAATGGTTTGAAGTGCACAACATCTGGTGAGCTTTATAAACCCTAGATGTCAGTGAATTGAACTGATGTCTTGGATAGTTTTCGCAGTGTGTGATACATTTGTCATAATTACTTCATCCTCACCTCTGACTGGTGTTTTCGTTGGGAGCGCGCGTGTCGGACGTGCAGGGCCAGTCAGGCGAGGTGGGGTGGGTCCCTGGTTCCCACAGCCCGAGTGGAGGCAGCCTCAGCCGCGCTATCTGCCTCTGTCTCCGGCCCCCCAGCTCCAGAGGGCCCCCTGACGTCAGCTGGGGCCTGATAAGTGGGTGCAGCGCGGAGGCCTGTGGATGGAGCAGAGAGAGGGGGGTGAGAGACGGAGGGATGAGGAGGGAGAGGGGTTACACTAACAGTGGATAAGAGCGTCAGACAGATAAGAGGCAGCGTTGTGTGGAGCCTCTTTTGTTTTCCACTGCTCCTCCTGTCTGCTGCCATCTCCGCTGCATCCTCTGTGTCTTCTGTCCTGTGTCTTAAATCCTTCTGCTCCTCGTCTGACTGTTAAAACAACCATCTATGACAGTCGTTTATCTTCTATGTAATGTTTGCTATTTATTTTATAGGGTTGTTAGAGGTGGGCAATATATTCTATTATTGATAAAACTATTAATGCTGTTTTGAAGATATGGAATATGAATATTGCAAAAAGAGCTGATAAAAAACAAAAAAGGAGAAAGTGTACTATCAAACAGGAGTAAAAGTAATATTTTTTGAGTAATTTTGTGGTTCGTTTATTTAAGGGTTTTA